TGTGTCTGTGTAGTTTGCATAAGTAAGATTTGGTAAATAACCTGATTTTCTGGGAATTGGTCCAAGTGAAACCTCTCCTCTTTTGAAGTTCATCCCTTAGTGATTCTTAGGGAGAATGGAGCTTTTTTTTTTTTGGAGTTCCAGGAAAGAGTTTAGCGGCTTGCTCTGCTCATCCGAGGGAGGCTCCAGGGCTACGTTTAACAGAGAACAGATGGCTCCTTTTAAAAGTGGTCATTATAATAATATATTCCAAAGCAGCTAATCATATCACACCAGAGTAGATGGACCCGCTGAAGATACTGCCCGCGGCCGCTCCCCGCCCCCTCGTGTCGGACGCCCCTGTCCCCTACCAGCCCGCAGTGGCCCAGCGGATGCGCCTTAAAGTCTGTAAGCTGCCTTGTGGGCTAGTCTATTTTCTATACATTAGTGCAGAATAATTATTCATAGTGTCAACATTACCTCTAGCAAAACTTTCTGTAGAATTTTTTTAATAGATGCAGAGATAAATGCAGGCCCTTCTACAGAATCTGTTCCGAAAAGCCAAGTGTTAGAGGCAAAGCGCTGGAGTTCTCCGCGGTGCCCTTCCAACGCACGTACACGAACTGGTCCACCGTCCAGTCGAGACAGCCTCAGCTCCCCCACCCCAGCCTCAGTTCACTCCTCAGCGACCTCCGAAGATCAATGATTCTCCGCTCCCCGCCCCAGTGCGGCCCGTGGGTCACGTGTGCATGATGGCAGCGAACCCACTCTGTGGGCTGTTGTTCGATTGCATCTTCAGCTCCACGGCAAAAAAGAAATTATTTCATCACAGTGATATTTATGGTTAGCTTGATTCAATAAAAATGGAATGTCAGCTATTCCAGCCCTAGGATGGAATGTGGAGATTACATCTGAGGTGCCTATCTACAGTTGGAGAAATCAAGGCCTTGGGTTATAAGAAAAGTCTGCAAAGTTAGCAAGGTTGTCAGGTCACACGAAACAGAGCCCCACAGGAATCAGTGAAATAGCGGCAATAATGTGTCAGCAAGAAGAATAAGCAAAACCACCAAAGGCAGTAAGTTAGAAGTGAATGCGGCCTATCAATTGTCAGAGACTGCCTGCCTTACTTCACCTGCTGAATCTTTTTTTTAAGATTTATTTATTTATTTATACAAGAACCAGGGTACAGGTCAGATGTGCAGGAGGGTGAGAGGATCCACCAGAGACAGAGCGGGGAGCAGAACAGGCAGACGGATGAAATACACTGCTGAGGGGAGCAGCGGGTGCAGCAGGGGAGGTCTGCCGCGCCAAGTGGAATCTCCCTGGCCGGGGATCGAACTCGTGCTGCAGAGGCTGCGGATTGCTTTGCAGTGCAGTCCTTAACCCCTTGCGCCACTAGGAAGGCCCCGACCTGCTGAATCTTATTTAAGCTCTACACCAGCTGCCGGAACACAGAGACTTTTATGTCTTGCCCAAGAGCAAACAATTATAAGTTATGGAGCAAATCACTAACCTAGGCATTCTGACTACAAACACTGGGGTTTATTTTATTTTATTTTTGTCATGAGACTCCATGTGAATTTTCTTAGCTTTCTCACTTTCTCGTCTTCAAGCATGTAATAAGAAGCTAAAAATAGTTCATAAAGTTTTCATCAAAGTGAAATTGGAGAGTCAAAATTGCATATTGATTTTCTTCCAAAAGGAAAAATTTTCTGTCCTTTGCAGGGATTGGAAACCGCCTTTGAAAATCAACTTTTTTATTTCCAATTTTGCTTCATGAATAACTTGGACATCATTTTGATTTAAGGACCAGCCCTCTAGAAGGTCCCAGGACGACCCCCGGGCCCTTGTTTCACTGGCAGGGTCTCTGTTGTGGTGTCAGACGAGCACTTTGGGATGATTTCAGCTGCCTCACAGCCTCTGCTCCCAATCAGGCCCGCCGCAGGGAGTTGGGAATCCGAGCAGTGAAGGCAACCCGTCCAGCAGGCGCAGAGATAAATAAATAAATGGCTCCATGAGGAGGCACTTCAGAGGTGGCTGGCCTGGAGGGTCCTGTGTGCCCGGCCAGCGTGGGGGCAGGAGGGAGGCCGCCCTCTCCCCGCCATCATGACCGAGGCCCACAGCTGAGCCGTCAGCGCAGGAGTCGGGACCAGGAGGACGGGCGGGCTGCCGGGGAGACAGGGCCGGCAGGAGATGGCTGTGCGGGCCGCGCCCCCCCCACCCCACGCTGGTCTGCATTTGTTTTGCAAGTTGCAGAGGCCTCGCTCTGGACGCCAAGGAGGAGAAAGGTCAGCCACCCCATCACGGGCGCTCGCGGGCCCCATGGGGCTCACATCACTTCATTTTTGTGGGGGGAAGGAAACTCACAAGCAAGCCCCGAGTGCTGGGAAACAAAGAGGCATTTGATCAGCTGCCCAGACAAGTTTTTTGTTCTAAGCGCTGATGAGAACAGTGCCTGCCTGATAGCTGCGGCTTTGGGACATTCGCTGCACCCACAAAAGTGGTTACCAGGAAATCTGGGTCCACTGAATCCAGGGGGTCTTGCTCTGTCAGTGTGTTCGGTGAAGCCAGGGGAGTTTCCTGGTTCCTGGCTGATGTGTCCGTTGGACCCTGTTCCGCCTTTCCCCAAATCAGTCCTGGTCCTGGAGTTCCCGCTTTCCGTGCAAATGAAGGCGGCCTCCGGCCTCCGCCTGGGGCTCGTTAAAGCTCGCCCAGGCCTGACTGGGAGACCCGTCAGCAGAGGCGCAGGCCACACGCGGTGCCACCCGCTGAGAGGTACATGCTTGTCTTCATGCCTCTTGTTCTTTTAAATATTTATCCTGAAATTTTAAAGGGGATATTGGTGAATTCACCACTGGCCTGGCGGGGGGCGTTTGTTTCTCTTTTTTGAATGTAGGCATTTTTTTCAAAAGGCTTCAAGGGAGACAAAGTTAATGACAGGCATGTCAGGGCTGCTCACTCACAAGAGGCAGGTGCCGCTTGACTTTCTCTGGTGTTCGCCAGTGTGTGACCTCGCGGAGCCAGCGCTTCCCGCTGACAGGACTGTAAGTCCAGGAGGCGCGACTGGACTGTGCGTTGCGCACGAGAACACGCATCAGCACCGACGGGTGTCGACAAGCCTCTCCCGCAGCCTCCTGCTTCTGAGCACCTTTCACTGCCTCCCGTTCACAGGTCTCACCATCACAGACCTGACGAGCCTGGTGGTCTTCTAACATCCTTGAGAACATTCTGGAAGCTCAGTTTCCCCACAGTGGTCCGGCTGGGGTTCCCAGCAGGCTGCCTGGAAGGGCTCCGCGAACGCCGGCTGAGTGAGAGCAGGTGCCGAGAGCCATGGAGGCAGCACAGCTGGTTGCCGGCCGGATTCGGATAAGGACCGAGAAGCTTGTGCCACGCTCCCGTGATACGGTAGTTTCCAGAGAAATCGACGGCACTCGGAGAGGTTCACTGGGCACACCGGCAGCCTCCGTGGGCTGGCTCCCACAAGGCTGAACACCAAGAGTGAAAACGGCAGGGTTTCATGCAGTGTGTGCGAGGAAACGTGCTGTCCGTCCATCATCACATCACACCAGCATTCCTGATTGTTCGGGAAGGGTCGAGGCCGCCCTGGCGACCCCTGCGAACAAGCAGCGCCGCGCACCCGGCAGCGTCTCCGCCCCAGCAAGCAGCAGAGTCTAAGGCGCAGACTCCCCCAAGCAGCAGCTGCCCCCGCACGGCCATGTCGCTGCAGAGGGACGTCAGCGTGGTAAATCCACTCACAGAGGCACGCGCACGGGGGAGACGCTGTAAACGCCCTTGAAACACATTTAGCTTCAGCCCCGGAGGGCAGGATCCGAAGTCCGTTTCCCACGCCGCCATCCAGCGCTGATGTCACTGGCCGAAGCGGGAGAAGAACGAACATCGATCATTCAAGCGGATGATGTGACCCCGTCTGCGGCCAAGGCCGTGCTCGCCTTGGGGGTGTCTGCCGTGTGCGGATCCCAGAATGGAAGCAGGGGGCCTCCTTCGCCGCTCCTCACCCGCGCACACGCACACGCACACGCCCCTTTGGGCTCGAGGGCGCGCCCTTCCTAAACCATTTCTTCACGAGAAAGTGGGCACTGGGGGAGAAACAGGGTTTCCGCCGGCGGAGGTGCCTGCGGGCTGGCTGCATGGGGTCGGGCTGGCTGCATGGGCCGGGCCAGCGCCTTGGCGGGTGCTTCCTGGGAGAATGTTTTACGTGCAGGGTTCCACCCCCCCTGCCTGGGCAGTGACCGCGGTGGCACGAGGAGGGTCCCGCGTGGCCGGCCGCGTGGGGGCAGGAGGGCAGCCGCGCTGTTCCTCCATCGTGACCAAGGCTGGGGTGGGCGGGTGGGGAGCTTCTGAAGCCAGACTCGGGAGGGGCCCCCCCGCTTGTGCACCTCCGGGTGCCATGAGGACAGTCGCCCGCACGGCCCAGCACCCGTGGGAGGGAGACGGCTGCCCACCCCGGGCACCTGGTCTGTCCGGCCTACTCCACCTCGACCCGTCTCCTCACTGCTCCCCTTTCTAAATATTTGGGGGGCTCTGGGAATGTGGACGTGCCTTGCAGAGAGTGACACGATCATGGGGTGCGTCAGCAGCACCTGGGGTTCTGGGGCGGGGCGGGGCTCTCCCTCCCAGGGCTCCTCCTGCCGGGCTCCCACCGGGCCTGGGCACCCGGAGGGGTCCTCGGGTCACGGCGTCTGCGACTGGCCGCTCCCCTCGGGCCCTCCTGCAGCGCACGCGGCCTCCCTGACCAGCGCCTCCGAGCCCGCGCAGGGGTGGCTGCCGGCTGACCGGTCCACGTCCAGGCCCCGCACGTGCCGGGGCGGGTCCTGCGACCTCGGGAGCCGTGCCCGGGGGGCGGGCTGCTTGGTGGGGGACCCCTGGGAAGGTGGGGCTCCCCAGCAGCGCCCCAGGAAGCGCTCCCGGCCGGCTGGCCTGGGTGCCCCACTCCGGCCTGCGAGGTCTTGGAGGGGGCCACGCTGGTCCTGTCCTCACGCTCTCCCCTTCTCGCCCCGCAGGACCAGCGCCCCGCGGTGGGCCAGAGCCCCGGCCCCGGCCCCGGCACCTGCGCGAACCCGACCTCCGGGAGCGGCTACGCAGCCCCGCAGCCCGCGCTGGCCCAGCCCACAGCCGGGAAGAAGCCGGCACTGGCGCGGCAGGCGCTGGAGCAGCAGCTGCTCCTGCAGCAGCAGGTGCGTCTCTCACACACACACACCCGGTGCACACACACACCCGGTACACACACACCCGGTACACACACACCTGGTACACACACACCCGGTACACACACACACACCCAGCAGCAGCTCCTCCTGCAGCAGCAGGTGCGTCTCACACACACACACCTGGTACACACACACACACCCGGTGCGCGCACACACACACCCAGCAGCAGCTCCTCCTGCAGTAGCAGGTGCGTCTCACACACACACCTGGTACACACACACACACCCTGTGCGCACACACCCGGTGCACACACACCCAGTGCACGCACACACACACACACCCCCAGCAGCAGCTCCTCCTGCAGCAGCAGGTGCATCTCACACATACACACCTGGTACACACACACACACATACACACACACACCCTGACCGGCCAAGGGCACCTTCTGGGGTGTGCACTAAAAGGCCATGGAGAGGACTTTGAGGCCCATGAAGCCAGGAGGCCGGGATGCAGGTTTGCATAGAATAATGTCCTGAGCAGCAGAGCAGCTGAGGGAAAGACAAAGACAGAGATGCATCGGCAGCATCGCCCCTGGAGAGGCTAGGAGAGAGAGATGAGATTTGCCTCTGACGCTGAAGGCCTGCAGGGCAGGATTCAGGGACAAGTGGGGTCCCCCACCTCAGGCAGAGCCCCCAAGGTGCGGCCTGGTGTGTTTGCCACCTGAGATTGTGTCAGGAAATGCCTAGTGGCCTCAACAGCGTAAATGATGATGCACAAGTCACCTGTGGCTTCTGAGGAGCAAGAGGTGGGTCCAGAGAGGAGTCAGCGTGTGGGGAGAAGCCGTGAGCAGTGAGTGGACTTGACCTGCGAACAGTGAGCATCGCTGCATTGCAAAGGGACAGCAGCTCTCGTCTGCAAATGAGCTTCACCCCCCCACCCCGTTTTGTTTTGTTTTGTTTCGATCCTCATAATGTAATTTCTTAGGGAAAAGGGCAGTGGGAGGCCACACACCAGTCGGGCGACTTGGCAGGCACACCACCTGCTGTGGCTGGACTGTCCATGCAGCTGTGCAGGGCCCAGCCATCCGGGGTTCTGGGGAGCCCTAGGCCTGGCTCCTTGGAGCCCCGTTGAATCACCGCTGGGCCAGGTGCAAAGGGCAGGGTCCAGGCCATGGAGAGAATGAGAATGAGGCTACTGTCCAGGGGCTTTATAAGCCCTGCACGCTGCTCTCTGTCTGGACTCCAGGAGGGCCTGCTCTTTTGCATACCCAGGAAGAAGCCGGCTTTGATGCCACTGCCATTAGCATTTGCTTTGTAGTCTCTGTGGCCAGGCCTGCAGAGGGAGGCCGAGGCTGCTTGTCCTGGCGGGTCCCAGAGGCATCCACATAGAAGCTGGGGCAGGATGGAGGGGGCTGGGGGGCGCCCGGAGGTGATTCCTCTGCTGGGTGTCTAGGGGCAAGGAAGCGTGAGTTAAATCTCCTGCTACACAGCAGCCTTGGGGGGCTGCCCAGGAGTCCCCAAGTACGGAGCGCACTCCACTCCACGTGGGGGTCAGCCTGCGCACCCTGGGGGAGCCGGGCAGGCAGGCCCTCAGGCTCGCTTCTGCACAAGGAAACCCAGCTCTCCTGGGATGTGCTTGTTAACCCTTTGAGCAACCTGGTTTAGCTCTCGGAGGCAAAATGTCAGTAAGTAGATTGAGTCTGCCCAAAGTGAGTCCGGATTTGCAGTCTGCTCATTAACGGGGGGGCCAAGGGTCGGGGGGGGTCCCCTTGGCTCACCACACGCACCGCGGCCTGTTTTCTCCTGCACGAGGGCGGAGGCTCCTCGCTGCATGGGAGCAGGACAGGCTGCGCAGAGACATGCCGGGGAGCGGGCCTTGGCGGGGAGCCGGGCCTGCGCGGTAGCCTGCGGGGGGCCACGTCCCGGGTGCGGCATCAGGGAACACGGCGAGCCTTCTGCTAGACGCTCGGGCTTTGGGCAAAACCGCAGAGAGGGAGGGCCTCAACCACTTTCTCCCTTGATCTGTAAACCCGTAATTAAAAGAAGTGTAATCATCTGTTTCTGATCCTTTCACACCCGCTCGTGAAAACTGAGCTTTAGATGAACTACTCGGTGCCAGGAACCCTGTGAGTCTTCAGGTTTTTTACCTTAGAAACAAAAATATGAATTTGGTTCTTGTTATTTCAAGCCCTCCTTTCCCTTCAGTGTGGTTGCAGTCTCCTCAGAAGGGTTGGGGTGTGATGGGAACCGGGAACACCCCGGTTCCGTGGGCTGAGCCAGGCTGCCCCGCATCGCCCGCCCTCTCGCCCCGCAGCGGTGGCAAGACTTCCCTTTCTGCCTCTTCTGTGCTTACGTAAGCTCTGTCCCGGTTATTTTCCTCCTTGCAAATGCCGGCTGCCTGGGGTGCACCCGCAGTGCCAGCATGCAGGGCTTCCCGAGCCCTCGGTGAGAGAAGCCACCCCGTGCCCGCCGCGGTGGCCCTGCCTGAAGACCAAGGGCGCGGCTCCGCAGCCCCCCTGCCAGCGGCGCTCGGGTCCTGCCTTCTGGGTAACAGGCTGTAGATGTTCCCAGGTTAGAAAGTGCGGTTTAATGATGTTTTAACTGTGTTTCCAAGGAAAAAATGGCTGCACAAGATCAGATAAACAGACACCTGACGAGGCCGCCCCCCGATTATAAAGACCAAAGGAGAGTCGTGGGCACCGTGCAGCCCAGCGCCCAGTATTCTGGTAAGTGGCCGGGGTCAGAAGGAAAAACCCCGGAGCTGCAGGAAGAGGAGTGTCCGCCTGCAGCATCTCCTCCCGCACGGCTCCTCGAGGGGCGCTCCCTCAGAGTCTGGTCAGACGCCCGCTGGGCACCCACCCCAGGCCGGACCCGGCGCTTCGCCCTCTCTGCAGCGGCTCTGACCCCCCACGCCCGCAGCTCCCTCTCCCCGCACTCGTCTGAGGCCCCAGGGTCCCGATGTGTTCCCCCTCCAGGCTCAGCGGTGGCCCTGTGCCAGCGAGTCTTGGCCCAGGGGTGCTTTAGGGGGTGCTCCCCTCTGGTCGCGTCTGTGCTGGCACTGGGCTTTCTTCCCGCCGTCCTCGCCAGGCTGTGCGGCGTAACCGTGACAGGCCCAGCTCTCGGGCGGCCCGGGCATGAGCAGCCCTGTGGGGGCCCACACTCGCGGTAACCCCGGGCCTGGACCCACCCCCCGACCCCGCAGCTGCGCTTTCATGCGTGTGGCTGAGATGATTCCTGGTCTTCGTTCTTGCGCCGCGTTCAGAGTTGCTGAGCTCTTGCGCATTGCCGCGAGCGAGAAGACAAACTAACGAGGAGGAACTAACAGAACCACCTTCTTTCTCGTAGGAGGCTCATCCACGGTGACTTTAAAGTCCAGCCAGACGTTGGCAAACCCGGTTTCAACACACACCATTTTGACGCCCAACCCCAGCCTCCTGTCGACCGCGCACGGAAGCAGGGTGTCCGCAGCCGCGCCGCATGGGGGCCTGTTCGGCGGCCTGCCCTGCAGCCAGCCGGGCGCCTACAGCGTGCCCGCGGGGATGGCACCGCCGCCCCAGCCAGGGAGCCCCGGCCGGCCCCTGGCAGGCCAGAGCAGCCCCCTGATGCCGCGGGCGCCCGCCCTGGGGCCCGGCGCTAACACCGGCGCAGCCACCTTCGCGGCTGGCGCTGCCCCGCCGCTGAGACCCACCCTGGCCCACGGCATGGCGAGCCTGCCGGCCCAGCGGACGCCCGCGGTCATGATCACGCCCAGCACGAGCGCACCCAGCTGGGCCTCCCAAGAAGCCGCAGCCAAGCAGCAGGACGCGCTGAAGCCCCCCGGAGCCGGCCGCTTCCCCGCCGGCGCCCCTGCGGCCTACGCCCCGCACCAGCCCTTGCAGCAGCCGCCGGCGGCCAGCCCGCAGTTCCCCCAGCGGCCGGCGGCCCCGCCCAACCCCGTGGCCCCCGCCCTGCAGCTGAGGCCCGGGGGCCAGATGAGCCAGACTTTGAACGGGCAGGCGCTGGGTCCACTCAGAAGCCTGGGCCTCAGGCCCGGCCAGCTGGGCACGCAGCTGCTGTCCAGTGTCAGCCAGCCGGGGACCGGGCTGAGCCAGGCCAGGACAGGCGCCAGCCAGCCGGCCCTGGCCCCCAGCGGCTTTCCGTCCCCCGGCCACAGCTCCAGGGCTCCTCTCGGGGCCGAGCCGGGCGGTGACTTAGCCTTCGACTTTCTCAGCCACCAGGCGGACCCCATGGGCCCCACCCTGAACAGCGACGCGGACTTCATCGACTCCCTGCTGAAGACGGAGCCCGGGGGCGACGACTGGATGAAGGACATCAATTTTGATGAGATCTTGGGGAGCGGCTCCTGAGGGGGCGCAGAGGCCCCCCCAGCCTGCGGGCAGCGTTTCTCCAGACCTGAGCCCCGGGTCGCTGGCCCCAGCCTCGGACGCCCTGGAGATGCCGTGGCTTGGAGCTGGAAAGACACCAGAGAGGCCAACGTTCTCCTCCAAAGGCTGGTTTTCGGTCCTCTGCCTGCGAGCAAAGCACCGCTCAGCTCCTGGACAGTGTTTCCGGCCCGTGCAGACAGCCGGTGGGCTGGGGACGAGGGGCCCGGGGGGCCACCGAGTAGGACGGCCGCCCAGCGCGCCTCCCCCAAGGAGAGGGCAGGACGGTGCGTGGAGCCGCGGAGCAGCCCCTGCCCCAGCCCGCAGCGGTCCTGCCCCCTCTCGTGGCCCCACCCTCGTGCCCCCTACTTTCCCAGGCGCCCAGGCCGCGGGAGGGTGCAGGTGGGAGTCAGGGACGAGCCCCGGGGACCCACAGGCCGCCTGGGCCAGGCAGTCCAGGCCCGGAGCCCCTCCCCTGCTGTGGCCCTATGGAGCGGCCGGGTCCTGCGCCCCAGCAAGAATGTGGACGTGCCCCAGATTATTTGGGCTCCCACGTCCAATTCCTGAGTCTGGTTCCAAGTCTCAGGCACACCTGAGGCCTGGCCAGGCGGCGCGAGCCATTGTCCGTGCGCTGTGGGCAGCTGGTCTCGCGGGTAGGAGCACCCGCCACCCTCCCTGGGCTTGGCTCCGAAGAGACCTTCTGGGCACGGGTCACCGGGGTCCTGCTGATGGGTGATGCCAGCTCCTTCCCAGGCGGGGTGCTGGGCCCGGCCCCCCTGTATAGCGTGCTCCCCAAGGCCGAGCTTGTAGGAAAACGCAGTCGGGGCCAGGGTGGAGGTGAGCAGGCGTCTTGCTTTGTTTGCAGGTAGAAGCAAAGGTCAGGACGGGGTGGGGGGTGGGCTCCCTCACAGACTCCCGGGGCAGTTAAAGGAAGGCGGCACTGAGGGGGCAGCCTGCCCTTGCTGACACTTTCTGGTTACACAGCTGGCAGGAGGTGCTGCTCAGCAGCGGCCTGTCCCTCCTGTTCCCGAGGGGAACACCCTGGCCTCGGGCTGGCGGCCCCTGCCGAGCCAGCCACCCCCCAGGGCTCAGCACTTACTGCAGGGCCTTTGGCAAGTCATGACCCCAGCGCCCACCTGCAGACCAGCGTCCTCCAGGCGGACGTGCTGCTGGGGCCCTGCAAATCCCTCTCACCTTCCTAACCACAGAGGAGGACCAGCACCTTCATACTCGGCCACCAAGCGTGGGGACCTGAGGTTGGGGGATAAGGAAGCCTTTCACGCTCCCATCAAAAATTAACACATTTTTATAAGTCCCTGCAAAGCCCTTTCCGAACCTTCCAGTCGTCCGGAAGCGCGCCCTTCGCACAGGGCCCCGCCGCCAGCCCCGGGCCTCTCCTGTGCTAGGCTGTACATGTGGATAAATGACTCGTTTTGTAAACTTCTGTAAAGAATATTTTGGTAGAAATACTGAAAACATATTCTTTGGGTTATATTTATACCTATGTGAAATAAATATACTATCAAAAGGTTATATTTTATACAAAAAGTAAATTGTTACCTTTTGTATGCTGATACACAAAGTTTTGTATAATAGGATGGTTTCTTTTTAGCTCTACACTTAAGACCCCAGGTAGCCAAGGGGGAGCTCTGGAAACTGGGGGGGGGGGGGGGCTTGTTAGATTTCTAGCCGGAAACCTCAGTGAGAGAACCACATTCCGGGTTTCAACCCTGGCCTTTTTTCTTTCCCGCCCCCAAATTCCTTCTAACCCGTGTTGCACATCCTGCCTGCCACCCCGTGAGGTTTCCCTCCGCTCCGGAGCCAAGAGCACCCTCTCCTGGCAGAGGGAGGAGGGCGTGTCCCCGCAGCCTCTGTGCCCCCGGCTGCGGGGGGCTGGGGGTGTCTCTGCCCGCGGGTCCCCGCGACACTCTGTGGTCTGCTGCTTCTCCCCTGACACCAAGACCGTGCTTTGTAGTCGCTATCACGTTTCAGAGAGACGGCAATCAGAATGTTTGGATTTTCTTCTATCCTAATGTGAATTTTATAATTAATGTCTATTTATTCAGCTATTCATTAAAACACAGGAGTCTCTGGAGAAACGGTGTGGTCTATACTTTCTGTTCCTTGGCAGCCTGACACCAAAGATGATGTGCTTTTCCCGGAAGCTGAGCTGAGGACGCCCTGTTGGCATCTAAAGCCGAAACTTCAGGCGGTGCAACTTACAGAGCCTCGGGCCCCTCTCCGGTTTACGGAAATACCGGGCGGCCTCCCTGCTGGCGTGAATCTTTGCGGCCTGTTATACAGCAGGCAGGAGGAAATTTTCTTTCTTTTCTTTAAATTCAAAGACTAGAAGCAACTTAAGTAAACAATTCCTTCTTGGCTTTGCGTGGAGCCCAATGAAGATAACGACTCTGCTGACGGGCATGCACGACTCGCATCACTGTCACTGCACCCGCGCGGGAAGATTTCAACTGTGACACAGGTGTTTTGTATCGTGTGTCATTCCATGTGTTCAAAATCGTTTCTGAAGCATCCGGAAGTGGGGCCCTTGTATGAAATCCTGCTCTTGCCACCAGGCACCCTGCTGGCTCCTCCCGGAAAGTTCTGAGAACGATCCTGGGGACGGGCGCTGAATGCATTCTCGGGGAAGCTTCGAGCACGGCGAACTGCTGGCCGTGGTCTGCCGCCTCTCCGTCCCTGAGCGTTGTGTTGAGGCCCGCACGCTGCCCACGCTCGCCCACTGCGCCTGGCGGTGGCGGCCCCAGGCCTGGGTGCCGCCCTTGCCTGCCTGCTGGGCGATGCTCCCTGCAGAGAGAGCTCCCTGCTGTTCGTGGCAGAGTCGGTGCCCGGGGACAGGGGCTAGCCCATGGCCTCAGCCAACGCTGGGGAGGGGAGGAAACAGTGTTCAGGGACCTGAGGGGCTTTATGGAATGATCATGAATCAAAGCATCCGGGCCTCGTGCAAAACAGGTCCTCACGAGAGGGGAGGCCAAGGTGATTAGCAAAGAAAGGGAGATTTCAGGCCGCATCATCTCCCCAGAGGGCAGGTGGGGCCGAAGGGGCGGGGACCCCACGTGCTGGTCTCCACCTCGCCTGGTTCAGGTTGATGTCTGGGGCGGAGGGTGAGCCTGCCCGAGAGCAGCTCGCGTCAGGGCCAGCACGCAGGCCATCCTGGGCCTGTTTTGTCTGCTTTCTCAGTAAATGCTCTAGCCGCCTCCACCCTCGCTGGGAGAGGCCCCGCGTGCCCCGGACCATCCTGCCGTCCTGCAGCTGCTCGGAAGGGACGGGGCCCAGGGACTGGGGACTCGGCTCCCCCTGGATCTCCAGTCCTCCTCCACGCCACTTCCCGGTATCGCCTCCCGCTGGAGCTGCGGGGCTGCCCCGCAGCTCTGTCCTCAGGTCTGCTTCGGCTGGGAATTAAACTGGAGCAAGACCCAACTGTCCACTAGCAATAGTCGCTAAGCACGGGATTTTGTGCCCAGTTGGCTTTGCAAGAGCTCGAAGTGTCCGTCCATCTTAACAAGACCCGATCCTGGAGTCCCAGAGGTGCACCGTGCGTGTGGTTCACTCAAGAAAGGCTTCAGAGACCCCCTCGGCCGAACCACCGAAAACAAGCCTTATTCCTGACGGGCAAAGATGTGTGAACACGTGCCCTTCAAAGCTTTAATTCAGATGTTTAATTTTTTTTTTTAGGTTTATTTATGCATACAAGAGCTGGGGTACAGGCCAGTGGTGCAGGGGGTGAGAGAACTCACCAGAGACAGTGGGGAGCAGAACAGTTGGTTCCACTAAAATCCACTGCTGAGGGGAGCAGCGGGGAGACAGGAGAGGTCTGCTGCGCCCTGTGGGTAGTTCCCTGGCCGGGGATCGAACTCGTGCCACAGAGGCTGCCCATAGCTTCATAGTGCTGAGACTAACCCCTTGTGCCACCAGGGAGGCCCTAAATTTTATGTTTTAAGTCAAAACGCTTATCTACATGCAGTGTGCGTATAGTGTCCGCCTACATATCGACTCCTCTTTTCAATCCAATTTTATTTTCTTTCTCAGATTCACTGACCAGCCATGAGTTCTGGTCACACTAAAGAAGACAACATTAGGGAAAGAGATTAAAGATTTTCATTTTAATTTTTTAATTTTAATTTCTGTAGGGCTTTGTGTGGGAAGCAGCGAGAGGTAAGGCTAGAAGGGCACGGAGGTTGTAAATCCTTGGAGGATAAACTTGATCCCGGACGTTTATTCCTGAGAAAATATAAAGCTTAAATTTCAGAAAGATTCTTTCCACTGTGAGCGAATATGACATCAATAATCCTCAAAGTCGTTTTTATTCATGGCTCATTCATATACTTTCTTGAAAGCAACATGTCACTTGCAAAGCACTGAAGAAAAAGTTATGTGTGTATTTGTAATATACACACACGGAGAAATTTATATCGCGTGTGTGTCTCCATGTATATGGTTCTGAATTCTGCCTTTCAACACTTGGTGGAAAAACACATGATCCTACATCTGGTCTTCGGTTCAAGTCGAAAGGAGGTTTTTGTTCATCTTTCGAGGGACCTGCGTGTTTGCAGGACGCCCTTGCCCCGCGGGGGCTCAGAGCAAGAGTCACTGTTCGTCTCCCGAAGCCACGCAAGGGTGTGGTGCGAGGCTGGTGTTTGGAAACTTAACCCGGAGAGTCCTTGTCCAGGAGTTATTGTGCATTCCCACCTAATGCAGACAGTCCATTCCCAGGGAGGTTTCTCTCACTGGACTTCACTGTTCCAAATATTACACCTGAAGCTGACAGGCACATCACAGGTTTCCAAGGACGGGGAGGGGCAGACCCACCCAGGGCCGCCCAGCTGTGCGGAAGCAAATTAGTCACGATTTTTTTTTTCTGCAAAACTCATTTCAAAGACTTAGTTTAGCATCTCAAAGGCCATGGATAATATTTGGGGGAAAAAGTTTTACTTCTTTTAAATACAATAATAATAGAGTTTAATGCTAAATATGCAAAGGCGTGTGAAATCATGAGGCCCGGGAGCTGCACAGCGGCCGTTGGGGTGAGGTCTAGAGAGCCAGCAGCTCGCTTTCTGAAGGCACCTGCATCTGTGTGGTGACACGGGCTCTTGATGTGGCATCGAGAAACACTGAAAACCTGCCAGTGTAGCTGCCCCTGGGTGCGCGTTACTGCACTAGCAAAACATTGCTCGTGTCTCTATTTGCTTTTATTTAAAAAATGTGAAACTTTTTAAGGCATATTTCAGCTCAAAGAGGCCTGTTCAAACCACTTTAAGTCTTTTTTTTTTTTTCTTAAAGATTTATTTCTTTATGCATGCAAGAACTGGAGTGTAAGCCAGAGGTGTGGGGGGTGAGAGGATTCACCAGAGACAGAGTGGGGAACAGAACAGGCAGACTGACTGAGACACACTGCTGAGGGGAGCAGCAGGGAAACAGGAGAGGTCTGCTGCGCCATGAGGGTAGCTCCCTGGTCGGGAATCGAACTCATGCTGCAGTGGCTGGCAATAGCTTGATAGCGCTGTCTTTAACCCCTGCGCCACCAGGGAGGCCCCACCACTTTAAGTCTTAAAATTAAAGCATGGAGTGCTCTGTTCAGGAAGTTCAGATTTTAAAAAAGGAAGTTCGTACACCCTATCCCTTTTCCCAAAGACGGGGCGCTTCTCTGGCCGGAGGCACTGTGTGGACGGCTGCCGGCAGCCCTGCAGGGACTGGTGGTCTGGAAGGCAGCGAGAAGGCCCGCTACGCATTTCTGCGTTTCTTTCTCTTAAAAGATGCTTCCCCCATGGAGCTCGCCAACTGCTTGTTCAAGGCTTGACCACGCGCAAAGGGATTAAATGAGGTTGGAAAGCGCGAGAATGCATTCTTAGCTACATAACAGACACTGGTACTTAAAATTTTCTCTAGGAAAAAGCAAAACTGTTCACAGTAATTTAAAAGTGAGAATCTCCTAAAATTACTTCACTTTTTCCATGTAATCCCAATTAACGTGCAGTGGAACATTCAGGCAAATGCTCTGTGCTATCAGCTGCAGAAAACTTTCAGTAAAACACAACGCTGATACATTTCTGTCTACAGTGAGAAAATGCTTTGTACCTGGTGGTTAATAAAAGCCAGATATTTTACCGCTTCCTCTTGGAGATCTGCACCCACCTTCAGAGATTGCATTTGCTTGTTTTTATGCCTGACTGAAGGCATTCGGGGGCATGCCCCCCCCCACACACAGTTTGGGTGGCTTCCCAAGTAATAAAAATACCAAGGAGCTAATGTTTTCCAGTGAAAGAGCCAGAGAGGGAAACTATCTGACGTTCTGCTGTTTGGAGGCAGGAATTTGCAGAGGTGAGCATTGGTAGGCAGAGTGTACGAGGCTGCCCGGAGGCTGGGGTGCCAACAAGGTGAGGGGTGTACCCAGGGCATCCTGAAAGAGGCAGGAGGACAAAAGTGAGGGGGGTTTTCTGGACACAGATCTGTCTGGTGCTAATGCAGTAACCCCTTGGCAAAGTATGTGGTTTTCTTTCCTTAAGGCCATCTCTTGGGGGCCTCCCTGGTGGCACAGGGCTTAAAGTCTCAGCACTATGAAGCTATCCGTGGCCACTGCAGCCTGAGTTTGATCCCCAGCCAGGGAGGCTGACCCAAGGGGCGCGCAGACCCCACCT